CATATTAAAATTTTAAACCACGACAGAGAAAGCAATAGCAATCAAAAGCGCGATTATCGGATCACGAGAACTATTAATTATTATGAACTAATATACAAAAACTATAAAAGATAAAACAAAATTTTATATTAATTTATAATGGTTAGTATTTCTTCCGATAACTGCGCTTCTGGCTTTTGTTATCTTCTCTATCATTGTTTATCTTTGAAGAATCGCACGTTGAATTATGAAAATTTTGGTTTAAAATTTAAATATTACAAGTCATTTATCAATATAATTTATTTGACGGATTATTTGTGATATCGACTATTCGTTCCGATATTTTTTAATTAAACGAGTTACGAGTCCTGTTCTCTCATAAACATTCTGCAAACATCCCGCGTGGGAAATAGGTGATTCTATTTTAGCGCCGTTGAGTGCCAGATGTTAATTAAACGAGTTGTGTATCGTTTTCCATCGAATGAGTAGAAAATCGTGTTCTTGACAGCGCTTCTCCCAAGCTCGATAAACAATACTCGGTCATAAATATTTGTCATATTTTAACAAGTTTTATATTTTACAGACTGCATCGACTGTAACAAACACACGCGATATTTGTTCAGATTGAAAAGATTTTTAGTAATTGCACGTTGTGTGCAGTAAACTTTTTGCTCATAATCGATTGCACTATATATGCCGTCCGTTGCGTAACGCACTTTCATTGCTTGCTTTCATCTCGGACTATTGAGATCGTCGTGATAACGCATCGGGAGAGTAGATATTACTGCATATCAAAGTTATCATTAATTCCAGTTCATAAACATTTCGCTTTCTAATAAAATCCAATAAAACAAATTAATTCCAGTTTCTAGAAGTTTTGCAATTCTCAAATTATGTAAAAATACATCTCTCGCTATGAATCACTCAACAACACATTTACAGCATATCGATATCGGATAGAAACACAGTCGAGCGCTTCCTTCTACAAAACGCGATTACTAAATTAATTATTTCAAGCGCCCGTCAGTTGAATCCAATCGATCGAACCAACAGGTTTCAATCTGATTTTGGGCAGCAAAGAATAAGCCGAGCTCGCCGATTGATATTCGGATTCTCCGTTTTCTCGAATGTAAGTGCGAATGTTGATGAAAATGCAAGGGATAAGATTTTCGTCATTTTTTTTTATTGGCAATGAATCCGATTGCAACGTCCGGCGCAGAGTTGCCTCATATTTAACTCGATTGTGATGGCGGTTGGAAACCGGTTGCACTGCTCGAACAGGATGACGGATAAAAGCGATTAACCACTTGCGCGCGCGCGTATGCTGCACCGATTCGTTTTCCGCTCAGGCTATTTTCCACGCGGCGTGAAATCGGAAAAGTGTCGGAGGCCGATGTACGCACTCGCGTGGCTAATACATGTTTACGCACTTGGTAAACCTCGCACTTTCTACATATAGTAGCCGCATGAGAGGCGGCTACTGTCCACAGTGAATTATCGTTTCGATACTCGGTCAGAATAGCAAGACGAAGAGCACGGAGAAACAAGCAGGTCGTAGACTTTGACGCTTGCTTTGAAATTTGTAATTTCAATTTACAGCCCACGACGAAATGAGTTGAGCGTCGAAAAACAATCGAATAATCGCGATATTTTGGTTGCAAATACTTTGAAAGTATTTTAATTAGTAACTAGAAATGCTTCAAAAACAAAATATTCTTTTGCATGTTAGTTTTATTCAAATTATATGAAAATAAATTTTATTTATATTACAAACAAGCTCACACTTATTTTTCACCAATAATAGTACGCGATGTATCACAATGTTGTATATTTTTGTACTTTATATTGTATTGTTAGTTTCTTAATCTATTTTTCATGAACCCTTAGCAATAGTTCGGTCTCAAATTTTCCTTTTTTTTTAAATAAAATTTCCGTGGTGATTTTTGATCGTTCTTAATTGGCAGTTGATATGCGCAAAGCAAACGGCGTTCTCAATGGACCTCGCGTGTCGCAATTACCGCAGCAATTTGCCGTAACTGCCCGCGGGTAAATTGATTTCTGCCACTGTCGATAACGATTCAATCGGCATTTTGCCAGTAGCCTTTGTGTAGCACCGTCACTCCGTGAACGCAGTTTCGTTCATAGATCCTACGCCAATTGTTCGCTTCATTTTTTAATTTAATTTATTTTAATTCGCTCGCAAGTGAAAAGAAATCATTAAAGCACTTATTACATTCTCATTTGCGATGCAATTAATGAGAAAGTATTTAACAATTAAATTACATTAAATTTTTTCTTATTTAGTAAGTTTATTCAAAGTAAAAGAAGCGCGTGTTAGAAAATAGCGATATTTCGACGTTTGAAAGGAGAAATTTACATATATAAAGGCCGCGTAAAAACGGAAGGTTTGGAAAAATAACGAGGGGAAAGATAAAAAGAGGGAAAGCAAGGTCGAACTAAGATCGCATGTCTAAACAAGCTTTGTTTAATTAACTAATGAGCCCCGCCCTTCGTAACGTGACTTGGCTTTCGTTCGACAGATGCACCCTTCGTTGCGTGTCGAGTTTTGTTGGGGCACGCGTGGATGCGCCGGAATGGGAAATTGCCGGCTAAACATACATAAAAGAATCGTGGTAGTCATTGAACCATTTGCATGTTCAACCTTCGGTCACCGTCTCATATTCGAAAGATGAAAGATTAATAACAGAAACTGCAAAAATCATATTATTGTATAAAATATAAAGTATCGATATGCGAAAGTATGAAATCAAACTGAAAGAGTCGACAATCATTGCCGTTAAATTACGCGAAACAGTTTCTAGATAATTGAACATATTGTCGCGAGAGTGTGTCGAATCAGCAGGGGAGGAAGAGCGAATGTAATTAGGTTAAGCGCCAATTAATGATCTTAAAACTGCTACGGCGTGCAACTGAATATGCAGCTGCATATAACCGCGTGAGCTCATTAAGTGCGCCGTCGTGCGGCTCGTAATGCCAGTCGTTTCAAGTCTATCGCAATAGTGGTCTAATTCACCGTAAGCATTTTTTTATAATTGTTGCCGCGTTGTTATTATTCTTTCAGAATTAAGTGAGAAAAGGTGCCGCAAACATTAAACAAAAAATTTGAAACACAGTCCTCACAAACGGCAATTATTTTACTTTTATATTAACCTTTTTTAATTGCGCAATTATATCTAGCAATGTTCAACAACATTTAGATCCAAGAGCTTACTTTAAAAGATCTCTCGAATGTTTTCTTTACTACGAGAAGAATATTTCTATCTGAAATTTTTTATATCATTATTATGCGTCACTTTCTTCTCATAAAGTATTATGCCAAAATGACAGATCTTTGTCGTAAGTTCAAATGCGCCGTTTTGCTTCTAAAATACCTTCTCAATTTTCGGACGAATAGGCATGTTCTCGGATTAGGAGAAACAATTTCTCAGAGAGAATGTATTAGATTGTTGAAAGGGAGCGAGTTTCCCTTTGCGGCGAATTCGGCAGAGAAACCACCGAAACCGAGAGTAGATTCAAGGAGCATTCAAGTCAGCGACAACTTGAGTTAAGGCGAGATTCAAATGGGAACATTAGCGTAGATGTCGAATGGGGGGAAACGAAACTTTGCTGTGACATTCGCAATTCCGAGGAAATTGACGGCACCGGCGGCACATGCGAGCGAGCACCGGCGCATACGTAATAAACAAGTGCAATGTACCATTGGATTGGACAAGAATATAATGAAATAGATATGAGCGATATTTTATGATCAATAATTCAATTCCAGAAAAGAAGTTATTAAGTCAACTTTTCGAACCGGGAAACAAACTAGCACGTTTTCGGCAATATGGATGTTTAATTTTTATCTCTAAAATTGAGTAAAAATTCGACCTAAATTTATGTATCATTTATAAAAGTGTTGTGCAGTTTAATGTTTATTTCGTCAATTGTTTAATAATGTAAAATCGATTCTTCCAATCGAGCAAATCACAAACGTTTTTTTCTCCACTTTGACATTTGAATATTTTCACGATCGAAGCCAATAAAGAAGTGTGCTTCTTTGAAATATCTTTCGACGAAGATAGCGGAAAAAGTAGCATTTCCCCATTGGAGTCATCCTGGCGTCACACAAAGGAAGCGAAAAAGAAAGAACGAAAGAAAGAGAGAAGACGAGAATATCAGCCTCAGTGAATATTCAGTGAGCTGTACGAAGAAGCGGATGATGCGGGGGTGGCTTAAGGAGAGAAGATATTAAATGGGGACATTAGTAGGGATGTCAAACGAGGCAATGACATTCTCTCGCTCGTAATTTTGATGATATCCGCCCAACTTCTGATCTTATGAATTTCTTTATCATTTACTTTTCCTTATACTTCCAGTTTCATTTATCTCACAATCCCATACTTCAATTTCAATACAACTTCCTTCATTTATTTATTTATATTACTTTATAAGAAATCTTTTTCTCTATAAATTTTAAAACATCTTATTGTCAAAATAAGAATTATAAAACTGATTGATACAGTAAAATCAATTGAGAAACAAAAATATCGAGATACGGAAACGATTATTTAATTCATTAATGGATCGATCTTATATTTACAGCCCTAAACTAATTTATCATAATATCAATTTTCCGATATTGCTAAATAAATAGTTCGCATAAATGACTTCACAGTTAAGTTTAAAAATCAATTTCATCAAATTGTCCCTAACAGCATCGTATTTATTCGATGAGAGTTATCATCACGTTGCCTCGAATGAAGTGGAGAGACGTTTTGACGGGCCGATATGATGATTTATAGCTTGCAAGGATTGATGCGTCGACATTAATCCCGTTAACGACGCGGTCATTTTCATCCTACGAACTCCTGCAAATCGGCAGGAGCTGTTAAA